CACACACACACACACGCACACGCACACACACACACACACACACACACACACGCACTCACGCGCGCGCGCACACACACACACACACCCACACCCACGCACAAGCACATTCGCACGCGCACGCGCACGCGCACACACACAAAAACACACACCAAAACACATACATGCAGACATGGACATCACAAACCTGTGCGCGTAAGCTCGCACACGCATCAAACCTACGCAGCCGAGCTGATCTGGAACTGGGCCCAGGTACATGGTGATATGCTGTACATGGCAGTCGAGGACTTCGGCGGGCGATTGCAATCCGGCAACAAGCGGTCGATTGATCAAATGGGACGGCGCCTGTATGTTTACAATCTCACAGAGACCCGCAAGGGCAACGACTTGCTGGGCTCAGGCTTGCTGGTGAGGCGCCCTGCCGTTCCCTCGTGTGTGCGCTCACATTTACACGCTGGCTGGTGGGTGCTGACGCCAGCGGAGTTGCAAAGGCAAGTTGCGGCAGACGCTGCTGTGTGCGGGCCTGGCCTGCCAACGCGCAAAGGCGGCTTGGCATCCACAAGATCAGAGCTCAACAGACTCCCGCTGTATTTGTCCTCCCTCTTCCTGGCCTTTGCAGGCCCCCAGTATCCTCTTCTTGCAGCTTCAAGTCGTCGCCGGCACTGCTCTGGACAGCGATGCAAAGCAGCTGCTGATTTGGCAGAGCGAGCGCAGCATAGCGCGTTCCGAGCAGCTCAACCCCCCGGATGACAGCATCCCAGCCGTCATTGCAATCGGTGATCAACACAACACAAGGGCACGCTGGTGCTTGCACAGATGATGTCTCCAGGCACGCATCTGCATCACCCTACTGCCTGCGCCTGCAGCCCGATATAGAGACCTTGCTGCCTTCGCCTGGTCCTCCTTGCAGTGTTCGACACCACCATTCTTGAGTCCAGCCTTCCTTGCGGTGTCAGCATTCAGCCCAATGGCCTGAAGCATCTGAACGCCGGTGAGGGGGGCACGATCCTCTCGTCGATCCTGACCAACACCGCCGAGGGGCTCCACCTTTACCTCTGGAGCAACACCAACGGCACCTTTGAGGGGTGAGCCGCTTGGGCACAAGCGCCTCGCCCGCCTGCTGCTAGTGCGTCCATCTCTTTTGTGCTGAAGCCCCCACAACCTTGGGCAATCAACCATCCCAGCGTGCCTCTCGCCGCGCTCACGTCCCCCCTTGGCAGGCGCAAGGGACTACAGCGTGTACAGGTGCTGACGCGCTTCGCGCTTGACATCTCTGTGGACAATGGGGGTTTTAAGATCACTCACACACCGGTCAATGTCTTCATCGCCGTGCCGCCGACGCTGAAGCTGGCTCAATTGCTCAGCGTCGACCTGCCGCTCCTGGGCAGCGTCGTTGTCTCTGAGGCGGAAATCGCGTCCGGCCTGGTCGCGGGGATGCCATACGTTGGGGACGTCGAATTGGTCAACGATCTGGACAACCGGAACATTGTGATCAACGAGATTCCCGGCGGCCTCATCTTCCGCGGCAACGTGAGCGCTGCGCGGACGTCGTTTGACATGAAGATCAGGAGCACCCGTGCACCTTCCACGATGACGTTGCGGTCACGGTGCATGCGCCTTGCAGCGCCTTTGCAAATCCAGCACACGATCTCCCTCACACTCAGGACTGCTTGCTTGACAGATCACAGTCCGCCTTCTCTCATGCAATTTAACTACCATAATGCAGTCCAAGCCAAACGATAAGTGCGTGTCGTCAAGCGAGACCCCGACCAGCAAGAAGGAGGAGTGGGCGCCCTTCATCATGACCATCCGCCTGTCAAAAGGCAAGCCCGCATCGTTCCGGGCCACGGCCGCCAACACCTGGTGCGCGACTGCCAGCTCACTGGATTGGGTGACTAAGATCCAGCAAGCTAACCTCTATACCAAAGGCATGCGCGGGCTGCACGGCGTCAACGCGCCCGGCGGCGGCAAGCAGCTGATGCTGGTGTCTCCGCGATTCGTGTTAGCCCTGGGGTACTTCCCGGGTTACGCAGATGGTGGTGAGCGCCAGGGTGGGGACGGTGCCCATTGCTTGCTGCAGGTTTGCTGGCAGCTTGAAAGAAAGTGTTATAGGGCGACATGGCATTGAACTCTGGACGAGTCAGATGATGCAAGAAAAGGAAGTGCAGGAATAGTGACTCGGCAGGGTGTGGTGACTCCATCAACATTCAAAAGCGCCCTCCACCATCTCGTCCCCCTTGCTTGACCCCCAGAGCCCGTGCAGGGCGCGTTCATCGACGTGTCCACTCGGGCAATCACTCAGTTCACGGCCAAGCCCCCCAAGGGCTACAGCTACCCGCAGTACGTCGCAGCGTGCGTCACTCGGCCCGCGGGTGGCGCCCAGGTGTACATCGAGTACGGCGGCGCCATCGGCTGGGGCGTGCCAAAGCGCACAGTGCTGAACAACGTCGCGGCCATGCCGGTTCCGTTCAAGGCCGGCGCAACTGCCTCCATCAGCCCGGTTGGCGGCGCTGCTGGCCTGCCTCGCCGCGCACATGCTGCGATGGCGTGCGCGCCAGACGGGCGGGCGTGGGTGTTTGGGGGCCTGGAGGACGTCGGCAACAAGGAAGCGACCAAATGGGCGCCCACCAATGACTTGAGCGCTTTCGCCCTTAAGGGTGGTGCTGGAGCGTTCAGCCTCACTGCCTCGTCATCCAAGCAGCCCGCCAAGCCCACCGCCTTCGCGGTGGCGGCGTCAGCTGCGCCGGTGTGGCCGGGCGTGCGCTATGGCGCGGGCATGGTGTTCCTGCCGCCTTCGGTCGCTGGGACCAAGGCGGGCGCGCTGGTGCTGTTTGGCGGCAGCAGCGGGAATGACCCGGAGCTGTTAGATATCAACAACATGACCAAGTCGCCGCTGCTGGGGGACACCTGGCTCTACGACGTCGCCGCCGCCTCTTGGTGGCCCCTCCGCACTGCCGGCGCGCCGCCGCCGGCGATGATGTGGCACGCGATGGCTGTCGACGGCCGCAGCGTCCTGCTGTATGGCGGTCGCGTGATGAACGCGACCACTGACACCTGGGCTCTGGATTCAAACGTGTACGCCCTCGAGTTCCCAGAGTCCGGCGGGCTCCCGTCATGGCGGTCCGCGCCCGTCCGGAACCAGAACCGCGGCACCGCGCCGCAGACGGACTTCCCCAACACGGCCATCGTCCCCATCGCCGGCCAGATCGCGCTGCAGCGCGAGATGGTGCGTTGCACCATGGCAAACGACACCCTTGGCTTTCTAAACTTGCGAGCTGCAAGTGCACCGCACCTCATAGTCGAGCCAAGGCAGCCCAGCCTAAGACCGCTTTGCAGGTGCACTGTAGGCTCGTGTTGTGATGTTTTGGGCCACCTGAGCGCAGCTCGGCACGACCCAGGCAGAACACAGCCCACCATACCTACCCTGCGCCTCAAGCTCACCCGTGCACCATTGCTCTACCTCGCAACAGGGCCTCACGCTCGTAAAAGCACCGCAGACAGTCTTGATACCGGCTGGGACGACCATCACTGCCGCGGAATGGGCTGCTGCCACACAGGGCCTGTTAGCAGGGGATTTGGTCACGCTGCTGGTTCCAAGGGGAGGTTTTGTGGAAGTCGAGGAGCCATTGCTTGTCTCGAGTGATATCATCATCAACAGCGGCTTCACAGGCGCGTCTGGTCGGCCAACCCAGTCAGGCCTTCAGGAGCAGGCGGTCCCCCTGGCCCCACCAGTTGAGCGGCTTGAAGGTGTGGTCGCAGTTCGCTGCGGCAAGAGGGCTCGATCCGCCTTCAAGATCATGTGAGCACCCACCTGGTTGGTCTCAAAGTCGGGTTAGCTTGGTCTGTACCAGCTCGTACACAGAGTGCCTGAAGGCACCCGGGCATGCATGTACTTCAGCTGGCAGTCATAGAGCTTTTTGATGATGGGCTTGCAATGAACCTATGCAAATACCTCCTTGACAATTGTCATCTGACTTCACTGCTTCAATTTGCCAGGTCTGCTGGTGTTGCCCTACACGACATGTCCATATCTGGATGCAACAGCAGTGCCATTCACCTGCTGCCCGACCCTTCAGTTCCTTCGCTGAACGACTACGCTGGCTCTCCGCTTGAGCTGCGCAACATCACCGTCTTCAACAACCCAGGATGCGCCCTTCAGATGGACACGGGAACTGCTGCAGTGCTACATAATGTACGTGTCATTAGCAATGGTCAGGGCTCCAAGTCATACGGCGCTATTCAAGCCGACGCCGGCACCAAGTTGGAAGCAGCCTACAGCACTTTCGCGCGCAACAATGGTTCTGCTGTCAACTTTGCAGGGGTGCTGATGACAGCTAAGCACTGTGGATTTGAGAACAATGTGGCACCCAACGGTGCTGGGCTGGATGCTGCATTCTTGACGCCTCCAGCCAGCCTGTACGCATCTGAGGATGCGGGCACCCCGGTGCCGGATGAGGGACGCATTCACCTCACCAACTGCACCCTCATAGACAACAGAGCCGAAGGTGGCGACGGGGGGGCCCTCAGGGTGGGCAGCAACATGGTGGCCATCTTGATCAACAGTACCTTGGCCAACAACACCGCCAAGGGCGACGGGGGCGGCGCTTCAGTGTTGCGTGGCGGCTGTATCTTGCTGAACGGCACGGCTGTGACTGATAACAATGCACTTGGCGGCGTCGGGGGCGGGGTTTGCAGCCGCCTGCCGCGCTGCCCTCACAACAACATGCTTTGGTTCAATGTGACGGTTGCCAACAACACTGCCCATGATGGTGGCGGGGCATACCTGTCTGGATTCGCATCTCAAGGCATCACTATCGTCAACAGCAGTTTTGCTGGCAACGACGCTCGTGGACAGGACCAAGCCGGGTGGGGTGGCGCACTTTGGATTGGCGCATGGTACAGCCAAGTTATACTTAAAGCAGTAGCCTTGACACACAATGCTGCTACTTTTGCGGGTGGTGCCATGCATGTGACTGTCGTGGGTGACGGCGCAAGTCTCACAGACGGTTTTGCGCAATTTCAGATGCTGAATTGCAGCGTAATAAACAATCGCGTCATCTGGCGCAACTCACACTCTACTGCGCCCACCTTTGGCGGAGCGCTCAACGTGGCTGGGAGCTTTGCCTCTGCCCTGATTGGCTCAACCCATCTGATCAACAACTCAGCCAATTCTGGCGGCGCGTTGACCTTCGCAATCGAGTATGGCGCTTTGTCAGTGCTCAAGTCACATTTTGAGAGCAATCGCGCCGTGTCAGGCGACGGCGGAGCGGCCAACCTCGGTGGAACCAGGGGACGTTTCAATATTGCTGATGTTGTGGCAGTTCGCAACAGAGCTGGCCGCAGTGGTGGTGCTATTGCATGTACTGCTCGTGATGGCCAGCTTTTTGCCGAGGGCACTCTACAGAAGTCTGGTGGTGCCAGCACTGTGTTTCAGCACAATCGTGCCAGCAGGTGAGTGTCATGCAGACAGGCTTGCTTGCTTGCCGCTTGGGCTGAACAGCTTCTTGATGTTGCTTTCATTGTCTTGCTGTGCACGGATCTGTTGCACCCACTCCCCTCACCACCACAACAAAATGAATACACACAGCCGTTTTATTTGGAGTTTGTCGTGATGATGGGGGTCATTGGTTGGGTGGGGTTATGCAACGGCTTTGAGCGTAGCTGGTCGGCCACGCATGCCTGTCGTGATGATGGGGGTGATTGTTTT